GGGGGGGTGCTCGAACTCCGGTATCAGGCATGACCTGTATTTCTCGGTCTGGGCGGATGTCGAGATTAGGGTTGTCGGCACACAGCGCAGTCATTCACTTTTGCACTTGGGCTCTATCTGGTCGCAAGTATGTATGTGTTATTACGAGTTTATGAACCAGATGTCGGTCGAATTACGAATGCTGCATGTGCATGTATCATGATCGAGGATGCGTGTTCTTTTTTTTTTTTCGAGGCGAAATTCTACGCCAGAGCCTTGACAGCCATCTTCTTGACACCCTCAAATGTCTTGTTGCCGCCAATGAAGCCGGCCGCGTGGACAAATACACAACCCTCAATACCTGAAATACCGTCCAGCTCCTGGTCGCGGAAGCCTCTCCAAGCCTCGGGCAGGGGCTTACGGCTCACAAAACTATCCTTTGACTCGGGCACACACTGGATCCTCCACTTGGCGCCCGGCGCGGTCGACTCTGGGTACAAGACGTACAGAACGGTGGGCTTGCCATCCTCCAAGGTGTACAGGTGGTCCTTCCACGGCACGCTCTGCCCCTCGAACACGAGGACTCTCCCCTCGGGATCGAACTCGGACCTCTTGTCGAAGGCTTTCTGGACGACGGAGCGAGCCGGCAGCCAGGCCGTGGCGTAGTAGTCCAGGTCGCGCTCAAACTCCTCCCCGATGCGCAGGCTCGCCTTGTAGAACCTGGCGTCCTCGGCCTTCTGCGCCTCGTCGGGGTCGCTGGGCCTCTCGTCGTTCCAGTTGGGATTCAGGCGGCCGACGACGGCGCCCAGGGTGAAGCCGCCCTCGCTGTAGCGCTTCTCGAGCCCCGCGGCGGAGATGCCGGCCGGGTCGTAGACGCTGATGCCGTTGTCGTGGGCGTCGAGGGCCTCGACGAAGCTCTCGTACAGCTTGTCGTGCAGCAGGTCGACCTCGGGGGCGTCCTGGGGCACGCCGGCGCCGAGCTTCTGGGCGATGATGGCCTTGCCGAAGTGCTTGAAGACGAGGCCCGCGCTGGAGAGCTTGGTGCGGCGGCCGGGGAAGGTGGTGGTGAAGCCGCGCTGGTGGTGGTCGTAGCGGTTGCGCTGGGCGTCGTACTCGCCGCCGACGTCGACGACGGTGTGGCAGGCTGCGAGGAGGTCTGGGTCGCGCGTGCGGATGAGCGGCGAGTCGTGGTAGGTTGGGAGCATGCGCAGCATGTGCACTGCCAGCGCTTCGTCGGCGTGGAAGTGCCCGTTGTGGGTGCCGATCTTGGGGCCGGTCTTGAGGCGTTTGGGGGCGGACTCGGTCATGGTTGTGACGAGGCGACGGAACATAAACTTATTGCTGGTGATCTTTCCGGTTTTTCCTTTTTTTCCCCTCTTCTGGCCTGTTTGGGGAGGCAGGCAGGGCGTTGGCCGTTGGGGATAGTCGCGAGATGAGAATGGATGGAGTTTTGATGGTGGGATAAGCTTGCGGATGGGTCGGAGCTTGGCTGCGGGGCCAATCAGGGGTTGGGAATTGGAAGGCAATGATTGTGAGCTGTTGAGGTGAAGCTTTGATGCTTGGGCAATTTGGGGTTGGTCCAGTTACAGTCTGGCAGATATTTGCCCGCTGAGAAATACCAGTTGACACTAGTAACATGCTGCAGTATTCTCATATGGAGCGTGATAACCAGGTACCTTCTCTGGTTAAATACTTTTTACCTCTTATTGTAGTCTTAAGTTGATGTATTTGAGAGCGTCTTACTCTTTTCTGCGTCATTTTTATTTTCACTTTTTTTTGCGCATCATATTTCCACATAGAGTTGCAGCCCTTGATTCATTTACAACGGCCTGGTTTAGCACCCTTGATATTCTCTTCCACCCAGCCCCATCTCGTCATCCAATCTATTTTCATTTCGCATCCTTTCTCCCAACACCACTCATATCCATGTCCTCTCCCTTTGTTGCCGGCTCTCTCAATCCTGACTCGGCACCCTTGTCTGTTCCAACATGCGCCTCTGTCCGACCAGCACCAACGTTGACATTCCTCGCATCCGCAGACTGCCAGTCTGAAGCCGTGGGCGGCTGATCGGGAAGAGGGAGGTTGGCTTGCACCTCGGCAATCTTGTCGGCCTTGGATTGGGGCATTTTGAATTCTTATGGATGTGTTTATGATGTGTTTTTGTCTAGACAGGCTATGCGTCAGTGTGGTGTTGTGTGTGCTGAATCTTGCGGCCACTTACATGGTTGTTTCGAATGATGCTTTCAAGACAGGTGATTTGAACAAGTTGGATTTTTCGCATTTAGCGAATTCTTATTTATATATAACGTATATGTGGAGTGGATTATTAGAAGATGTGACGAAATATGTTTTGTTTTTTCCTTTTTCCCTTTCATTACATGGCAATTGTGACGTTTCCATGATCGCCTACAGTTTGCCTCCGCTGACGTCAATGACATGTTGTAACTCCAGAAAATTGCAACGGGTGATTCCCCAGTGGCCGGAGAAGAGCTCCGGTAGGCCCACTGCTTTGTTGCGAGTGGGAATGAATCGAGATGTTGAGTTGAACGTGAGATACGTCTTGAGGTTTGGCACACCGGGTTCAGTTTGAGGTGCGGGTATGTCTCGAAGCCTCGAAGCCGTGATGTGCTTTGGCGGAATTGTTTGAAGACACTGGCAAGTCAAGTTATTTATTGCTGAGGTGAAAGCCCTCAAAATGTTGGTTTGCATGGTATCTGGAGCAGTCAGTTGCCGAGTCTAAGAGGCAAACTCGAAAACCATATGTGGCAATCGGGGAGTTTAGTGATACAGTGGGAGATTAAAAGCTTAACCAGATCAGGTACCTGGTTGTCGCGTTTCATTGTAATATGCTAGTTTGTACTTCTTGGTGGGCAGACATATTCTACCATGGACTGTGCAACTGAAAATCAAGTACGACTCCTTGTGTTCCCCATTCTTTGGAGTCTTAAAACAAGGCCACTGTTCTGGAAGCCATCGTATTAGCGACAAGCTCTTCAAATCACTGATAGAATAGGCTAGAGAGTCGCGTATGCTTCACTTGAATGGGTTGCGAGACATCATCTTTAAAGCTATGTACTGGAGTAACAATCCTTGGCTTCCTGGCCAGCAAGCTTTTGAATCCATGTATAGGAACATGTTTCTGATCATGAACGAGTTGCTATATTGACTCGAATAGCTACAAAATAACAGTGTGTCCGGTCCATTCTAAACGACTAAGCTTCAACTATTGGCTATAAACGGCGAGGTCCTGAGATAGGCCTGGCTTGAGAACTTGAGAGTCTGTAACTGTCGCTCCCAAAGCATTCTCGAATGGCCGGTATTATGGCGAAAAGAAAAGAAAAATAAAGCAAACGAGGCACAAAACAATCTGCAAAATCCCGGAGCAGCGAGTCCTGGTGGAAAGAAATGCTGTCGAACTGCAGCTCAAACATGTTTGACAACAACATGTGCACGCTCCAGCACGACAGGCTCCATATCACCATTCCCAGAGCTTTTGATCAATGCTCCGCAAATAGTAAATGCAACTCGACTGGATTCATCACCCCCATTCAGCACTCCGTGAACCTCCAAGGCGGATTCGTAGTCATGGACATTGATCCCATCGCTATACCCTTGACAGGTGTAATCGTCTTTTGACTTGCGCATGAGAAAACGTAGTTCGTACGCCTCTTCACACATATTATGAACATCATGATGGAGCTTTTGAAGAGTCGCGGAGTCCATATCTCGTGGGATGAGGCAATTAAAATAGCTCAAAATCATAGACTCAACTTCGCTGATACAATCATCATGACTGATTTTGGTCTGTTCAATTGCCTTCATGGTGGCATGTCTCCAATCCACCACGGCGTTGGCTGGTACTAAGAATTATGTCAGCTATAGCACAGTACGTAGACTCTGAAACTTTAGAAAACCAACCTTGCGAACAAGTCATAATCGTCTCAAGGGATTTGAGTGAAGACTCAATTTTCTGAAGATCATGACTATGAGTTGGACTAATACCGAAGAGCTTCTGCCCAAGGACATGGTCAACAACCAGTCTGAATATTTTTCCTCGCATGATAAAAGCACGATCATTAGTAGAGAGAGTATTCCAAGAGTCCCAAAACTTATGCACCTCAGGGTGGCATTGTGAAGGGACGCTAATGCTCCGGCCCAGACGAAAGGCTTTGCTATAGGTGATTGCTTGGATTTTCTGTCGGATGCTGGTGAACTTGCTCTTTATTTCTTCATCTGAGATCTTCTCAGTTCCCGCCTGCCCAAGTATGACGTTTCTGAGGTCATTTTTCTCTTTCTTGAGTTTATCGACCTCAATCCGGCTCTCATTATACATTTGTTGCAGCTCCTGGAGTTCGCTGCGCAGGAGCTTGTTTTTGTCAATACATTTTCCCATATGCCCCTGCTGTTTAAGAAGTTGAGCTTCATAAATCTCTCTCTGGCTTGCCAAACGAGCCACAGTCTGTGTGCTTCATTAGCTGATTTCGCTGATCAAGTAGGAGAGCGTGGTTGGTGGACACATACTGTCTGGGAAGCGTCTTGTTTCTTGAACCAGCCACAAATCTGGTCAAAATATGTATCTATTTTGTTCTCAAGTTTATTGAAGCCCTCATCAGTAGAAAGACATTTCTGGTCCCCTCTCTCATCCAATGTGTCCGGGACGGAGGGATCTTTTTCGGGATGGTGGACTGCCATTGTCTTGTGAACGAAGTCCGTGGCTGGTCAAAATATGTGTGGGAAGAGTCGAGCAGAGTCTACCTAGGTAGTGTTGGAGGAAGGAAAGTAATGCTAGACAGGTGGCCCATAAACGAGAGGGAAAAGGGCGAGAGTGCGGAGCCGAAAGATATCAGGTCAGAGGCCGTTCAGATTGTGCTCAGATTACGTTTAAATCTCAAACTATCACTTGACTTCTGGGCCAGTTGGCAGTCACCAAGTAAGGGCATGGATCCAAAACTTACTCAATGTTAACATTCATTGCCAACTGTTTGCAATCACCTGACCCGGTTCAGCACCTGTTCCGTTTGTTCCATGTGCCAACCAGGTGTTTCTTCACACAAGACTAGAACGCTAAAATTTTCTCTTGTGCAGTCCATTACAATTTTCCTACTAAGATATCAACAACCCACAAGTACAAAAGTCTCTCCTATCTGGACCACCCAACAATCATCGCACTTCGGACGCAAGCCAACCTCCACGACTTCATTTGATGCCTCATATCATCAACAATGGTGAGAAAGCTTAAAGATGAGCAGATGCCTCGCCCTACGATGTCAGAGTCAGATGAAAAGCTGGTAATAGCTTTGGACTTCGGAACCACCTACTCTGGTGTTGCATTTTGTTTTGCAAATCAGGACAACACGAAGCCAGCGGCAATCATGGACTGGCCAGGTAAAATCTCTTGAGAGAAGGCACTATCAAGTACGAATTCTGACTTATTTTCACTTGGATTCATAGGAGATCACGGGATATCCGTACCAAAAATTCCTACCGTTGTTGCCTATGGCAAACAACCACACGGTTTTTTTAAATGGGGAGCATCTGTTGCAGAGCTCGATACTGGCATTATCGGTATCAAGCTCCTCCTTGACCCAGAGCAGGAGAGACCAACATATCTACCTTCCACCAATGCTCAAAGAGATATAAGAATGCTTCCCAAGCAGCCTGTGGAAATCGCTGCGGATTTTATGGGAGCAATCTACAAGCATGCCTTGGACGAAATTTCCAAGACTGTGCCCAAAGCATATATGGATCTATGCTCCAAAGAGTTTGTGCTTTCTGGTAAGTGGTGGCAATCACTTCTTATGAAGCAGGTGTTTTCTGACTCTTCAAAGTCCCGGCTGTTTGGTCCGATGCTGCCAAAAATGCTACACTATTGGTAAGACGAGAATCCTCTCCGGACCATGAACCGTGATAACAAATAGTAATGGATTTTGAATAGGCTGCAAAAAGAGCTGGGATTCACCCTGTAACGCTCATCAAAGAACCCGAGGCTGCCGCATTGCATACTGTGAAGACTCTAGACTTCTCCATCAAAAAGGGTGATGCGTTTGTAGTTTGCGATGCTGGAGGCGGCACAGTCGACCTTATCTCATACGAGGTGCACCAGGTCGTACCAAATCTGCAAGTGAAAGAAATAGTTCCAGGGACAGGTAAGTTCCACCTGCGACGTCAGTCTTCATAAGCAGCGGCTCACATTGCTATAGGAGGAATGGCTGGGTCTATGGGTCTGAATCAGCGCTTTGCTCAAGCCGTGCAGAACCTCATTGGCGATGAGCAGTGGTTCCCTTTAAAGAAAAGCAAGGCTTGGGCTATCGCCCAGAGGCAATTTGATCAGGAGGTTAAAAAAGCCTTCAGAGGCGATCCTGACGAAGAATATTTTGTCAACTTCCCCATGGCTGATCTTGAGGATGATCCGCAAAGCGGCCTGGTGTCTAACACTTGGAGGATGACAGGGTAAGTAGCATCTCGTGCCTATTGATAGTAGATGCTTGCTAACCTTGATGTTGTAGGTCTGATCTTGCTCGGATTTTCAATCCCCTTATAGAAGATGTTTTAAAGCTTATAGAGCTCCAAGTGCAGGCATCAAAACTCAAACGCCCCGGAACGGGTGTTTCAGTAGGTCAGGCTGCTCTATATAAAAGGTGAAGCTAACGTCGGATAGGGAATCATGCTGGTCGGTGGTTTCGGCAGCAGTCGTTACCTCATGCTACGTGCCAAGAGCCGTTTCCCAGATATTCAAGTTCTTCAGCCACAAGACGCATGGGCTGCTATTGTGAAGTAAGTTCCACGCTGTGTGAATGTGTAGAATCCAGATAACTAATGATTCCAACATAGAGGTGCTGTGCTCTCCAAAATTCCTGGCCAGGCCAGCGTGATGAGCACCTCATCAACCAAACACTACGGTACTTCGATGGACGCTCTGTACTCTTCAGCCAAAGACTGGGGCCAGCCAACGTTTATCCGCCGAGATGGATCGACTGGTGTGGAGAAAGTGAGTTTTTTGACCCTTGTACTGTTGCTGCTGTACGCATCTAATCTGATTATCATGTCAAAGATGGCTTGGTTCATAAATAAAGGAGAAGATATCCAGCGAGACCACAAAATCAAGTTTTCCTTCTTCAGAACTCTCGAAAAGGGATACACGAATCCAGAACTTATTTTTCGTGATAAACTTTACGAATGTCAAGATAGGTAAGCTTAAACCCGTCTAATAGTATTATTACCACTTACAGAAGAATCCAGTTTGGCCCCGATCTATCCATCCGCAGCCAGAAATATGCGGGAGAATTGCTCAGTGCGAGCTGACCTTACTAGCATACCCAAGTCTTATCTTATCAAAAAGAAAGGTTTGCTCATGTACTTTTTCTTCTTAACCAAACGCTGACTGACGTATTCCTTTCAGACCCGCATGGAGTGGCCTAGTACGTCTGGAGCCCAAACCAAAGGTCATGATCTTGTTTTAACATGTTTATTTAGCTACGAAGTGCACTACAATCTTGTAATCTCTCTGGAGTCTGCAATCATGACATTTTCTCTAGAAGTCGATGGTAAAACCATGGGATCCGTCAACGTCGACTATAAATAAGTGCTGAAGCATTTTAAAATTGTTCTTATTCTCCGAGTTTCTAACCGCACTCTATCAAACTGAGATGCCATAATAAGTATACAGACAGAATGTTGTTGTTTTTTTGAGAATTGACCGCGGATGTTTTCTTTTATTCCAGAGCCCGATCGGAGTCAAAAGTTTGCGTTGAGGAGGTACAGACATCGTGGCTCTAGATTTGAGATGCAGGTTTCGTTTTGACGTTTAATAAATAGTCAAGGCAGGTAGACTGGCCCAATTGATACGAGTTGCACCAAGTGTTTACCATAACATACACATTTCAACACGCTCCTACGGTGGGAGGCAAAACGTATTTAACCAGATCAGATACCTGGCTATTACGTTTTATGCTATAATGTATCACTCCGCGATGAGGATAATCTAGTACGTACATGGTGTTATCATTTCATTTCAACTAGCTCCCTGGTGTCTTCACTACCTCAGCTAGTGTGTTTGACGCATCGCGATGAGTGTACTGTGTTTTCCTCGAGAGTGTATACTTCACGGTGGGTAAATATATTCTGCCAGACTGTAATATAACAACACAATCGTGACTGGACACAGAATAGGAACAGACGTAGGAGTTAACTATCAATCTATCATGACCTCATCAAATGCATGCCTAGCAGTATATAAACGTAACCTAAACGCCAAACCCATTCCTCATTAAACCACAAACCTAAATCTTCCGCCTCACCCCATCCTCCTATCCGTCTCCGCAGAGGTCGCCTTCTCACCATTATCAGGACTTAAATAATCCGCATCCTCAGCAGCTTCGTACTCGGCAATCAAGTCAGCCACCACCTCCCTCGCCTCATCAAACTCGTTGAGATTTTCTGCAAAAGGAGCCGTCTTTTTGTACCCTTCCATGAAGGCGTTGCGCTTGCGCATACCATCGTACTGCCTCACGATGCGTTTAAACAACTGCCCACAGTGTTAATACATTATCCGAAAAGTCCGTCATTGGGTTGTGAAGAACATACAGTCGCAATGCTCGTGTGGTTAGCAAGCATGAGCCCACTAACTCTGTGGCTCATAGGGATGTAAGGGCTCCTCTTGGTCAAGGCCACCTGGATGCTCGCCGGACCCCAGGGTATAAACGTCGCCAGTCTACGTTCTCGAATACGCAGTAGACTCTTGTGGACGTCTGTGGGGTCAACTTCGCCCTGGATCACGTTCAGGATGGAAATGTAGCAGCTCTTTTTGCCGGGAACAGTAGAGACCATGCGATTCTTAGGCTGGAGGAGTCGGCGCATGACGTCGAGCACTGTAGTCTTTCGCACAGTCTTGGCCTGTTCGACTTGATCGCCTGTGAAGGGGGTGTAGGCTGTCATGAGGAAGTGGCATCTAGGAGTTGGGATGAGGGACGCGAGGATGCTGACGAGATCGTTGTGCATGTAGCCTGGATATCGGAGAGTCGTGGTGCTGGCCGACATGACGGTAGCAACCTATTCACGTTAGCAACGGCTTTGTCTCTGATCATTCTCCACTGCAAAACGTAAAATCAAGCAGTGAGGGCCTTTTTTCGACAAAATTCACAGTCCAGAATTTGGAACAACACGATGCTCCCTTCCAGACCACAAACCCAAGGCCAAAAACAAAAGTCGAATATCCACCCTCTCAACAAAGCCAAAATAAAACCAAAAACAAAAACATACCAACTGATTCGTCTGCCCAAAACTCGGCTCCTGAACATGCAGCCTATCAGCCGCAATATGCGACAACGCCCCATTATCCAGCACCACGACCGAATCCGCATTCTGCGTCAGCCGCCTCATCGAAAGGATACTGTTGTACGGGTGCACCACCACGTCACCCGAGTTCGTCGTATCCGGGAACACGGAATACGTCTGGATAATCTTCTTGGGGAACCGATCGTTCAGCCGCTCCAGGAGGAAGCTGCCTAGGCCGGAGCCCGTACCGCCCGCAATGGAGTGCAGCATCATGAAGCCCTCGAGGGAATCGCTGCCGTCGGCCTCGCGGTCAATCATCTCCATGATGTCCTCGCAAACAGCCTCACCAGACTGGTAACCGTCGCCCCAGTTGTTGGCGGCGCCCACGCCATTTTTGCCGACGTAAAAGTTTTCTGGGTTGTAGATGTTCTTGTAGGGGCCGGTTTGGATGCCGTTGATTACCTGCGCTTGTCAGTTTGAACTCCTTGGTTTTGCTCCTCGCTGCGCTCGCGGATGAGGGAGGGTTGATGTGTAGATTCGAACACTCCTCGCTTCGTCATATCTGAACGGAAGAGCAACTCCTTGCCACGCTCGTGTAGACAGAAACATGGACATTTGAGAATCATCCAGACAAACCACCCCCCAGCCAAAGCGAGCGAAGCGAGGCCCCTAGAAAAAACCTACCCTCGGCTCAAGATCAATAAGAATCGCCCGCGGGATATACCTCGTATCGTCGCTCTGGTAGTAAAACACATCCTTGCGGTCGCCGCCCTCGGTCGCAAAATCCTCCAAGTTGCCGTCCTGGCTAATGCCATGCTCCAGACACAGCTGCTGCCAGAACTGGCTGCCAACTAAAGGGCGAGTAAAACTCCCGTCAGCATCGGCCTCGGTCTCCTGAAAAGTCCCACCAACGTGTCGAGAGCAACTTTGCAACGCAGGTCGGGGGATGGGAATGGATGGTGCATGGTCACGTCACCGCCATGAGGCGGACAGAGAGCCAAAGGGGAGAAAATTACGTACTGCTGTTGCCGCACTGTCCGGCCTGAATGGTGATAATCTCCCTAGAGACGAGTCAGCTGAATACTGCAACGGCCAGTAGGTTCCGGATGGGGAGAACAAACCGTGGCATGGTGGCTGGCTGCACAAGAACGTTGCAAGCTCAAGGTTGCCCGGCGGTCGACCCAAGACGCGACGACGCGACTGGTCTGGTTTGGAGCTGCTCTGTCGTTCTGTGGGAGCATTTTTTTTAGTCGTGGACATGGATGGATGGGACCCCGCCCCCGCGTTTCACAACTACGTGTAAATAGATATCAATTATATGGGCTCCGTAGGCCTAGACACAAAGCTTCAAGCAGTAAATATTCCATTTTACAGAAAATATACACTTCCACTACCATATACCACATCTTGAGAATCTCAAAAACAAATGTGACGATTGCAATGCTCTAACAACGCCGGTGATTTGATGCTCCCTATACCTTACCTGTTTTTATGACCAATCCAACTAGCAATGTTGGCATGCGCCTTTCCTATGCTCAATGCTCGTTCATTCTTCGGACCATATTAACTTAATTACTTTACTTCTTATTGGCTTCCTTATTCTTCTCCAGCGACTCTGCCAATTCCTTGGCAAGGTCCTTTGTCTTGACCTGAATCATCCACGTCTCCAACCCATCTCCCTTCTCGTTTGACGTTGTCAGTTTGACATACTTCTCATCGGCCTTGTATGTCAAGTTTGGCAGCAGTGCACGGTTGAGAGCCACGTGGCCACGCGGTTCCGCACGCAACAGTAGTCGGACAAGCTTTGTCTCTTTATGCTGCAACAGCCGCAGTTGTCCTACTCCCTGCGTGGACCAAGGGCTCTTCGACTTGGGCTTATCCTCATCCGACTTCTCAGATGCGGGAACAAACTTGAGAACCTTGGCTCGAACTTCATGGCGTACTTCCTCGTCGTCGTTGACGCCGTCCGTTAGGTTAATCTGCTCGTGTTTCTCGCCATCTTCGTTGGTCGCTTCGCCATCCTTGGCTGTGTCTGCTTGCGTTGAGGGCTCCGGAGTCCCAGCAGCCGGCGTTGTGGCCAAGCTTGAGCCGCCCCCGAAGTTCAACGGAGAGTCTATACCCGTCGCTTTAGCGGCGCAATTTTCCGGTTCGGAAAAGGAGACTTACTGGTTCCGGTGGTTGTAGATCCACCAGCTGGCGGCTGGAGGTTGAAGGCCGGGACAGCTTGGTTGGAACCAAACACGGAACCAGTCCCCTGTGGCGCGGCGCCTCCAGCCGAGAAATTGAAAGAAGGAGCGCTGCCAGATCCCGAGGCGCCACCAAATATGGGAGCTGCATTGTTGGTACCTTGGTTTGCTCCGAACACCAGGCCACCGGTGCCAGTTGACGTGGATGCGTTGCCACTGCTGCCACCAAACTGAAAGGGAGAAGTTCCAGCAGGCGTAGATCCAGCGGCAAAGGGAAAGGTAGCCCCGGAACCAGGCGCAGCCGCCGCCGTAGCGTTGTTGCCGCCTGCCGAGGAAAAGGGGTTGTTGAAGCTGCCCTTTGCTGCTCCGTCGGTACTCGCGCCGCCAAAGTTGAAGGTGAAGCCGGCTGAGCCGGAACCAGTGTTTGACGATGCACCAGCAAAGATGGGGGCGGCGCTGGCGGTGCTACCATTTTGCGCAGGTGCTGATGATGCCGCAAAGATACCAGACGTAGAGGCTGGCGGTTGGCTGGTAGCACCAAAATTGAACAAAGGAGCTGAGCTTCCGTCCGCATTACCACCATTAAATATCTTCTTCTTAGCGGGAGACGGGTCATCCTGTTTCATGGGGCTACCAAACATATTGTTTCCCGAAGCGCCAGAGGGAGGTGACTGTGGCAGGCTAAACTGAGGCTTGGATGCAGTCGCAGATGGAGCCCCGGTATTGCTGCCACCAAAATTGAAAAATGGCTTCGGCGTGTCTGCCTTGGCAGCAGTTGAGTCGGTCGTGGCTGCGGGCGCGGCTCCAAACAAAGATTGCTGCGGCTGTGTAGTGGGAGTCGCGGCACCACCTCCAAAAATGCCGCTGGCAGTGCTGGCAGGCTTGGATCCGAAGAGAGTTCCAGCATTGCCTGTTGCAGGCGCGGCTGTAAAAGAAGAAGTATTGCCAAACAGACTGGCTGCGGGCTTGGGGCCTTCAGCAGTTGCAACTTTCCCAGGCTCGTTGGGTTTGGCTCCAAACAGGGTGGATGAGGTTGACTCGGCAGGTTTGCTGACCTGACCAAACAGGTTGGATGCGCTGGTTGTTGTTGTCGTCTCGGCAGGCCTCGCAGCATCAGGCTTGGCTGCGAAGAGATTAGCGACCGGTTTGGGGGCTTCAGCAGCTTTTGGTACTTCGGCTGCGGCTGGCTTAGACTGAAGTGACGAGCCAAAAGGTGATGGTGCTGCCGCGGGCTTGGTGTCAAAGAGGCTCTTTTTAGACGATTGCGACTCGTTCTCCTTGTCCGACTCGCCGCCATCACTCGCATTGGCCCCCGTCGACGACTCCTTGGCAGCTGGCTGCTCCTTCTTTGTGGTACCAAAGAAATTGGACGCCGCAGTCGCCTTGGGAGCAAAGATGGTGCTTCCAGAGTTAGCCCCCGAAGTGCCAAAAACGGAACCAGCAGCGGCAGGAGTAGAAGATGGCGCAAATTTGATGGGCGTGGTCGATGGATTCCAAGTCTGGTCTGTAACGGCCGGCTTCTCCGAGACTGGCTCAGAAACGGCTTCAGAAACGGCTTCCGACTCTGGCTCAGGTTCGGACACCTCGATCTTCTCCTCAATACGGATGGGCTGACCATCGCTTCCTTTTGTAACCCGATCGAACAAGCTGGCTCCAATCTGCGATCCAGTATCTCCAGCGCCACTAGCGACAACACTAGGCTCATCACTTTGGCCAGCCTCTTGGCTACCATCCTGGTCCGAGTCGGATTCACTCTCGGCATCAGCATCGACGCCGCTGTTCTTAGCGGAGCTGGCATCTGACAAATAGCCAAAAATGTTGCTCCCAGCGCCTCCGTGGCCCGCCTGAGTACCAGGAGGCTTCAAATTGGTGAAGACAGTGCGAGCCAAGCTGCTGCTTGCCGCTGGTTTGTTGGCACTGAAGGGCTTCGGCTTCGGCGCGGGAGCAGCAGTTGACCCTTCAGCAGTCTTGGTATTATTGGTAATCTTCTCCAATAGCGACTTGGCAGACGAAGGAGTCGGCTTCTGCATCTTTGAGGGCTGTTCCTCGCTCACCGATGCCTTCCTCTTGTTCTTGCCGACGGAGGGGGCCGGAGTGGTCGCAACAGGGGCTACCACGGGTTCAGAATCGTCGCCCACAGCTCGACGCTTGCCCTTCGAGGCCGGCGTTTCTGAGTAGTCTTCGGTAGCCTTTCGCTTCTTGGATGGGGCGGTCTTCGAAGGGGTCGCCTCGGATTCTTCTTCGTCCTCTGGCTCCGGCAGACCATGCTCACGACGCCACCTCTTGAGGACATCTTTGGATGGCTTGACGTTCTGGAATTCGTACAAGCCATATCGAAGAAGAATGATGCTTCGGCTCTTCTCAAACTCCTTTGCAAAATTGATGACGTTCAACTTCCAATCTTTTCTGGCAAAGATCTCGTTTGCAGCATATTTCAGCCGCCTTAAATCGAGAACACAGAAGAATTGGCGGCGCTGCTCTTCATCGAGTTCGGGGGGGCAAAGATGTGCTAGGAACTGGTCCGCGTAGATGGAGCCCTTGGCGTTCCACTCCTTGGGAACCTTTTGGGTCAATACCTCACCCGTCAACTCTGGCGGGGGGGAAGCAATGCGCATCGGGAACAGTTCCTTGTTTGTAGTCTTGGCCGCCATGCCGCGGGGCGTGGCCTGTGCGATGGAGTTGCGGTACATTCGCGACGGCTCTGGAGTAGCACCAGGAGCAAAGACCTTTTTCATCGTGCTATTGGGGATACTCGGGGAGAACGAAGAAGTAGGTGGGCTTTCTGTGATGGTGGATGCTCGAAAGATATTTCGTGCCGTGGCGATGGAACTTTGGTTGAGACTGCTGGCTGGGGCCTCGTCGCGGGTCGTCAACAGCTTCCTAGCTGATGAAGTATGAGGCGTCCCCAGGCGCTTTGCGGAAGAACTACCAAAAGGTGACGCAGTAGCATACGCGCGCTTTGCAAATGGTAGCGGAGGTCGAGATCTAGGAGTACCATTGGTAGTAGGTTCGACGACATCGTCGCCAGGAATGGAGAAGGTGACCATTCTCTAGTGGCGAAGGAGAGGAAGAAGTTAAGGGCGGGAGGGCAAGGACAGCGGTCGACGAGAGAGCGTGCTCAATAAAGGAGATGAAAGGGAGGCGATGAAAAAAAGGTAGATTCGGTACAAATGACACGACGAGGATGAGATTTTGTCTCGAGTCGTCGTCAGGTTGAGGAGTCGAGTTGCCCCTAGTATTGATGGGTTCGTGTCGGACGCTCAGGAAACTTTTTTTTCTGGGGCCGAAGGTTAGGAGCAAAGGAGAAGAAAGAGTCCGCCAGGCCCAAAATAGCAGAACGGCCAAACCAGCAAGCGGCTTTAACAGGCTTGCAAAGAACCGTGCAACCTAAAAAGATGATTGACAATGGTCTCTGCGAACAAGGGATGGGCACAGATGCGCAAGAAGCAGTCGCATCGGTTCGCAGGCCAGGACGCGCCGTGTGGTTTTTGCGGGTTTGCGGGTTGCGGGTTGCGAGGAGAGCGAGTGTGAGCGAGTAAGAGCGAGTCGACCGAGTATGAGAGAAACCAGGTGGCTTTTTAGCGCGGGCTGGCCGTGCAGGGTGCAGGTGCAAGTGCTGCCAGTGTGTGCCCCTTTGCCCTTTCCGAGTTTCTGGGAACTACATAAGAACCTACCTACAGTAGGTAGGTCCTCTAGGTAGATAATACATGTATGGAGTACCGAGTACTACTACTGGAGTGCGTGCAACCAGACTTTTGCTCGATGACCTCGACTCGACTCGACACGACTCGACTCGGCATGGCCACTGCACTCGGGGCCGCCAAAGCACGCAAAAAAGCAGGAAAACGTATGGGCAGCCACCCACTCTGACGGTCTGACCACAGACCAGCTTGCCAGCCAAGGTCGAGTCTGGTGCCTTCAGTCTGCACCCACACTCATCACCACGGCGAGGGGGTCACCGGCTGCTATGGTTGGCTGGGACTCTTCCAAGTCGACCCACCTGACCTCGTCGCCGGCCCGCCCGCTCGCGGGAATCGAGTGAATCAAGAACCCTTGTGCGACCGCAGCGGCAACCTGGAGGCCTTACACTTCTACACTAGTCACCTCAAATATGAGGCATCAAAATGTCAAGTGCCATGCAAACCGGGTATACGTCGATTATCCCAGGATACTCCTACGGGAATGGTCACGCAAGTCGCGTACTACTCTATCCGCCTGGGAATTACGGTAATGACATGTTGTCTTTACGAGTGGCTTATCGTGTCACGGAATACTATTCGTCACATGATCTGTCCTCTGAGCTCCTTCGGCTGCAGTTTTCCACTTTGATGACGCCACCTTATTACCAAGACATCGACGACTCGACTATCCCTTTGGGTGTTCGAAGGTGCCGATTTTATACCGAACAAGGATTTTAACCAATTAAAAGTCTTAATATAGGAGATACATTAATATACTAGGATATTATATAAAGATATAAGTACTATTTATCTTTATATATACAAAAAAAAAAATGAATTTTTCGCGTTTTACCTCGCACTCTAATTACGCCGCAGAACCGCCCCTAAAATCAATTTTAACTTTAGATTTAAAATCCTTATACTTATTTACCCTTTATAATAATATTATATCTTAATTATAATAAAAGTATAATAATAAATAAGATACTA